CAAGAAATAACCAAGATCAGGGGTGAACTGAAGGAGATAAAGACACAAAAAGTCCTTCCAAAAATCAACAAATCCAGAAGTTGTTTTTTGAAAAAATTAAACAAATAGACTGCTAGCTAGACTAATAAAGGAGAAAAGAGACAAGAATCAAATAAACACAATAAAAATGACAAAGGGAATATCACCACTGACCCTAAAGAAATATAAACAACTGTCAGAAAATACTATAAATATCTCTATGCACATACAATAGAAAATCTAGAAGAAATGGAGAAATTCCTGGACACATACATCCTCTCAAGACTGAAACAGGAAGAAGTTGAATTTTTGAACAAACCAATAACAAGTTCTGAAATTGAGGCAGTACTAAAAAGCCTACCAACTAAAAAAAACCAGGACCAGAGAGATTCACAGCTGAGTTCTACCAGAGGTACAAGGAAGAGCTGGCATCATTTCTACTGAAACTATTGAAAAGGAGGGATTCCTCTCTAACTCATTCTGAGGCCAGCATCATTCTGATACCAAAACCTGGTAGAAATAAAACAACAAAAAAAGAGAAACTTCAGGCCAATATCCTTGATCAAAATTGATGCAAAAATCCTCAATAAAATGCTGGCAAACCGAAACCAGCAGTACATCAAAAAGCTTATATACCACCATCAAGTTGGCTTTATCCCCAGGATGCGAGGTTGGTTCAACATATGCCAGCCATAATAAGTGTGATTCATCACATAAATACCACTAAAGACAAAAACCACAGAATATCTCAACAGAGGCAGAAAAGGCCTTCAATAAAATTCAACATCCCTTCATGTTAAACACTCTCAATAAATAGATATTGAAAGAACATACCTCAAAATATTAAAAACCTTATATGACAAACCCACACCCAATATCATATTGAATGGGCAAAAGCAGGAAGCAGTCCCTGTGAAAACCAGCACAAGACAATGCCCTCTTTCACCACTCCTGTTCAACATAGTATTGGAAGTTCTGGCAAGAGCAATCAGGCAAGAGAAAGAAATAAAGGGTATTCAAATAGGGAGAGAGGAAGTCAAAATGTCTCTGTCTGTAGAAAACATGATCCTGTATTTAGAACACCCCATTGTCTCAGGCCAAAAGCTTCTGAAGCTAATAAGCAATTTCAGCAATCCTCAGGATACAAAATCAATGTGCAAAAATCACTAGCATTCCTATACACCAACAACAGATAAGCAGAGAGCCAAATCATGAATGAACTCCCATTCACAACTGCTACAAAAAAGATTGGTATACCTAGGAATACAGTTAACAAGGGAAGCAAAGGATCTTTTCGAGGGCAACTACAAACAACTGCTCAAAGAAATCAGAGAGGACACAAATAAGTGAAAAAATATTCCATGCTCATGGATAGGAAGAATCAATATTGTGAAAATGGCCATACTGCCCAAACTAATTTATAAATTCAATGCTATTCCTATTAGACTGCCACTGACATTCTTCATAGAATTAGAAAAAACCACTTAAAAATTCATATGGAATGAAAAAAGAGCCTGAAGAGCCAAGACAGTTCTAAGCAAAAAGAATAAAGCTGGAGGCATCACACTATCCAACTTCAAACTATGCTACAAGACTACAGTAACAAAAACAGCAGGGTACTGGTACAAAAACAGACACATCGACCAGTGGAACAGAATAAAGAATTCAAAAGTAAGGCCACACACCTGCAATTATCTGATCTTTAACAACTCTGACAAAAACAGTGGGAAAAGGATTCCCTATTTAATAAACTGTGCAGGGAGAACTGGCTAGCCATATGCAGAAAATTTAAACTAGACCACTTCCTTACACCTTATACAAAATTTAATTCAAGGTGGATTAAAGACTTAAATGTGAAGCCCCAAACTATAAAACTCTTATAAGAAAATCTGGGCAATACCATTCAAGAAATAGGCAGGGGCAAAGATTTCATGATGAAAATGTCAAAAGCAATTGCAACAAAAGCAACAGTTGACAAATGGGATCTGACTAAACTAAAGAGCTTCTGCACAGCAAAAGAAACTATCATCTGAGTGAACAGACGACCTACAGAATGGGAGAAAATGTTTGCAATCTATCAATCTGACAAAGGTCTAGTATCTAGAGTCCACAAGGAACTTAAATAAATATTTAAGGAAAAAACAAACAAAGAAAAAAAAAAACAAACAGCCCCATTAAGAAGTGGCCAAAAAACATGAACAGACACTTCTCAAAAGAAGACATTCATGCAGCCAACGAACAAGTGAAAAAAAGCTCAACATCACTGATGATTAGAGAAATGCAAATCAAAACCACTATGAGATACTATCTCAGGCCAGTCAGAATGGCAATTATTAATAAAGTCAAGAAATAACTGATGCTGGCAAGGTTGCAGAGAAAAAGACATGCTTTTACAGTGTCGGTGGGAGCGTAAATTAGTTCAATCATTATGGAAGACAGTGTGGTCATTCCTTAGAAACCTAGAGGCAGAAATACCATTTGTTACAGCAAACCCATTATTGGATGTACACCCAAAAGAATACAAATCATTGTATTATAAAGATACATGCACATATATGTTCACTGCAGCACTATTCACAATAGCTAAGACATGGAATCAACCCAAATGCCCATCAATGATAGACTGGGTAAAGAAAATGTGGTATATACACACCATGGAATACTATGCAGCCATAAAAAGCAACAAGATCATGTCCTTTTCAGGGACATGGATGGAGTTGGAAGCCATCATCCTCAGCAGACTCATGCAGGAACAGAAAACCAAATACTGCATGTTCTCATTTATAAGTGGGAGACGAATGATGAGAACACATGGACACATGGAGGGGCACAGTACACACTGGGGCCTGTTGTAGAGGGGGCTGGGAGAGAGAGAGGATCAGGAAGGTTAGCTAATGGATGTTGGTCTTAATACCTAGGTGATGGGATGATCCGTGCAGCAAACCACCATGGCACATGTTTACCAATGTAACAAACCTTCACATCCTGCACATGTATCCCTGAACTTAAAGTAAAAATTAAAGAAAAAAAAAAAAAGAAACCAATTGAGATATTTTATATTCTTTTTTGGGTGCTAAGATTTCAAGATCTGGTATGAATTTTACACCCACAGCACATCGCAATTTGGACTCATCACATTTCAGATGCTCAAGAGTTGCATGTGGCTAGAGGCTACCATACTGAACAGGATAGCTCTACATCTGTGCTTCTTTTTTTTTTTTTTTTTTTTTTTTTTTTAAGACGGAGTTTCGCTCTTGTTACCCAGGCTGGAGTGCAATGGCGCGATCTCGGCTCACTGTAACCTCCGCCTCCTGGGTTCAAGCAATTCTCCTGCCTCAGCCTCCTGAGTAGCTGGGATTACAGGCACGTGCCACCATGCCCAGCTAATTTTTTGTATCTTTAGTAGAGACGGGGTTTCACCATGTTGACCAGGATGGTCTCGATCTCTTGACCTTGTGATCTACCCGCCTCGGCCTCCCAAAGTGCTGGGATTACATGCTTGAGCCACCGTACCCGGCACATCTGTGCTTCTTAAACTTTGGCACAGATGGGAATAATCCAGAGAGAATACTAAACACAGATTCCTGGACTTCATTCATTCACAAAGGTCAGGGGCAGGACCTGAACATCTGCATTTCCAAAAAGCTCCCAGTCGACGCTGACACTGCCAGTCCACGGACCACACTTGGGATAGCTTGCACACCAAAGCACACGTATCTCCCAGTGAACCGTGGCAATTATAATGATGATAACAAATAGTTCTCATATTTTACCTTTCAAAAGCACTTTGCATAGCAACTAGAGAAATTCAAATTAAAACTAAACTGAGTTACCACCGCGCACCCATCAGAATGGCCAAAATGAGAAGTAATAACACCAAATGCTGGTGAGGATGTAAAGAAACTGGATCACTCATACATTCCTGGGAGAATGGCAAATTGAAAATAGTTTGCCCATTTCTTTTAAAACTGTAAATGGATTTATCATACAATTATATTCTTGAGCATTTATCCCAGAGAAATAAAAACTTATTTCATGCAGAAATGTGTACACATATAGTCACAGCATTTTTTATTTGTAATAGCCCCAAACGGGAAATGTTCCTGGAGAGGTGAATGGTTAAACAAACTAGTTCATCCATACCATGGAATACTATCTCACAGTAAAAAGGTATAAACTATTAATACACACAAGAGTTTGGATGAATCTCAGTGACATTATGCTAAATGAAAAATACCCAACCTCAGAAAGGTAAATCCTCATTCCATCTACATAACATTTGTGAAATAGCATAGTTGTAGATATGAACAAAGTAGTGTTTTTCAGGGATTGAGGAAGGGAACGATGGAGGTGTGGCTATAAAGGGAGAGCAGGAGGGAATCTTGTGATGGTTAATCTTGGTTATGGTAGTGGTTACACAAAACTGCCCATGTGATTAAATCATACAGAGCTACACACATGCTCACACATAAATGAATGCATGCATAGATGGTGAAACCAAAATAGCTGTATAAATTGTGCTAATGTCAATTTCCTGTTTTTGATATTGTGCTATAGTTATGCAAGGTGTTAACACAGGGTGAAGGGTACACAGAACCTCCCTGTATATTTATTTGTACCTTCTTTGCATCTATCGTTATCTCCAAATAAAAAGTTTTTTTTAAAGCACTTTGCATATGCTATCTCACTTGATTCTCATGATAACTCTGGGAAGTGAGCAGTATGATCACTAACATTATGCAAAAAAGAAAATCAAGCCCCAGGGGACAAACCGCTGATGGAAGATTACATAGGTAAAAACTGACAAAGCCAGGACTGAAGTTAGACTACATCCTTTCATAAGTATTGATATATTAATGTATCAGTATTAATAGATATAAAAAAATTTAGGGGACCCAATTATCAGAAATGTAGATGTGCTTCAGAGAGTAAATTTGCAAAGTATAAATAAAACACAAGCCCTCCATCTTCCCATGACTTACGATAGACTTGCAGGTTGTAGCGCTTGGTGATGGTGAAGGGAGGAGTCTTTGTATTTATATCTGCTTTGTAGTCTCCTGTGTCTTCCATCCTCAGATTGCTAATGATCAGGTTGCAGCTTGGATCTGAGACATGTATCCGATCATAATAATTTCTATGGGTCACAGTAACTGTGGGTGCTGTTTCTGAGTCTCCTGGGTTTACAACAGCAACAGATGTTTCAGAAGTCCAAGCAATGATTTTCACTTGCTGTGGTTCTTGGATATTTACAGGGAAAGTGACTGATTCTCCCAGAATCCCAAACACCGTGAATATTTCTGAGTCTTCTCCAGCTGCTTCTGGCCCTGAGAAAGCAAAAAGTAAACTGTAGCCATCTGACCGTTGCCCCTTTTACAGTTACCAATCTTTCTAGCCTTGGAGCTCCCTGAGGAGTTGCCACAAATGTAGTTCACCCAGTTTCTTGAGGATGCCCCCCGCCCCGCTTTTTTGGCATTCTACTCTAGGTGTATTTACTATGTTATAACAACTAATTTTTCTAAAGCATTCTCATTCAAAAACTAAGTTTCTCATTAGAGATCCATTTTATTAAAAATATTTTTACCGAGACTTACAGACCGCAAACTAGAAGGCATTTAAGAGGTGAAGGCCATAAGCCTCCATGAAGTCTAAGATATTAGGTGCATTTCTTTCCCAAGATCATATTGCCAAGTGCTGGAAGAGCTGGAACAAGAACCTGGAATATCGTGTCTTGGGTCGTTGCTTTTTATTTTCCTGTAATCTCTGCAAAAAGCAAGTAACAGCTTTGTCCCTTTTCCTGGAAGATACAGGCAGAGTACTTTGGAGGCTCTGGAGAAAATATTCCCCAAGTTGGTGATTTTTGGGGATCTTTTTCTGTTTACTTCTATATTCCTAGTCTCTAGAAGAGTGCCTGACACACAGAAGGTGCTTAGTAAATATCTGCGGAATTAATTGATAGAATTTACTCTTGTGTTTTCTAGACTCTCTTGGAACAACTTCTGAAGTAAGCAAAGTTCGTTTATTCATTCATACATTTGTGAATGAATGCGTGTATTTATTCAGGATCAGTTTTGTTCCAGATACTATTGTGGGTATTTATTAATTTAATTTATAATATAAGTGTTTGTTGGACATCTGCTCTTAAACAAGATACAAGGGACTGGGGATACAACGGTAAGAAGAAACAGATGCAATTCTTGCTCTTTGGAACTTACAATCAGAGGAAGATACCAATGTTGATCAGATAATCATACAAACAAATGGATAGACAAAAAATATCTAAGTATTATGGTAATTTCAGAGAGACCAGCAAGAGGACTTGATCTGTTCTGGGAATCCAGGGAACATTTCCTAGTGAAGGCTGAAGGATCAATACTTTTAAAATGTAACATGGGAAGATGAAAAGCTTATTTTCTCTTCCCTTTTTTCTCCACTATCACTTTTGAAAATAAACTCATTTAATACATAGTTTGTAAAACGAGAGACAATATAATTACAAGACATTGTTTTTCTGCTCTTCCTCGTCCTCTTCTTCATTATCATGTAATTCTCAATGAGTGCTCTTCAGTGAGAAACAGTGTTTGGGGCAAGCATGGATGATATTCAACGTATTTAATAACCGGTATGACATGGACCCTGATCAATTGGAAATGGCGTTAGCCATAAACAAATTAGTTGGGCAGTTCTGGTGTGTACTGGCTACATGTAGGCTCTGATGACCATGACATCAGTTTTCCACCTAAGTGGGTTCAGGTTGATCCTAAAGTTTATCCAAGTCTTGATATATGGACGAATAAAGATCATGAAGTATACAAGTCACTTTGAATTGGCACAAAAATAAAGGGATTTCTTAAGCTGATGGGGCTGACTCACTAAGGTCACCTCTGCTCTTCAGCTCAGCAACCACTGAAAGAGCCTCAGAGACAGCTGATGTAAACCGCTTTCCTTTCTGACCAACAGAGATTTTTTTCCCCTAGGAGTAATAACCAGGACAAGGCCTTAGGACTTAGCTGGGGCTGGCTAAGAACAAGACATGTAACAGGGAAGGGCAGGGAGTATGTGGGGTGGGAGTAGTTAGGGGGTAATTGGGAACCCTCATCTGCAAACATTTTTAAGTACCAATTGTGTGTCAGATGCCGTGTTAGGGACACACGGATAAACAGGATATCCTTGCAGCCATGAGGAGCTCACAGCCCAGAAAATAAGACAGATGTGGACACAAATGAAAGATAATACGACACTATGAGTGCAAAATGGTAAGACCACTAGAAATAAACCATTGTGGAGGGCGGTGGGTCAGAAAGAGGCTAATGCTGCCTTTGGTGGTAGGAGTCACGGTTTGCCAAAATTCAAGAACATTAATTCTCCCCAGACAAACTGTTTTACTGGGCTGATGGGTTCTAGGAGAGACGTGTTTGGAGTGTCCCAGCCTGAATCCCCGGATGTTCCAGGCAGGAGCATTCGATCTATTCAGTTGCACCGAACCCTGAGCTCAAAAGGACGCTGAACTGGACTTAATGCTGCATTGCCACCTCGAAATTCTACATGCTATTTAAACAAGGGGCCGTCCATTTTCATTTTGCACTGGGCCTTGCACATTATCTAGCCAGCCCTGTACCAGATTTCCCATGTCTCAATTCTTTTTTGAAGTCAGGCCCTTGTGCTTAATTGCCTGCCACTTCAGAGATTAGGTGTGAGGAGACAGACAGAACATAGATTCCACAGACTCATAATCTGGGTGAGTTCTCTCACCAAACCCCAGGAAGTGTGTAGGTAGATTGCTTAGGATGAGACATTAGGGCAGTCGAGCAGCCACGGTGGTTGGTGTGTGGTGCAGTTTTAAAAGTACGTCTCGTCTCCCGTAGCAAGTCATTCAGGAAGTGGTGCTGGAGTATTTAAGGGCAATCAGGCGGTGGAAGTGGTGGGTAGGCAAAGTTGGGGGAAGCTGTTATAGGTGCTGCTGGTGTAATTGACAAGAAAACTTTGCTTGCTGAAAAAGGCAAAGGGGTTGCACATGTTTAATATGAAGATTCTGCCACCTTCAGACACTCCAACTGTGCTCTGAGAGAAGCAGCTGCAAAACCATTGCCTGCTGTGGAAAGATAGGGAGGCAGAAGGCGTAGGTAAAAGTACTTCTACTTATGAGCTGGACAATCTTAACATGGTCACAAAACCTTCCTTCTTTTTTCTTGACGAAGTCTCACTCTCTCACTGTCATCCAGGCTGGAGTGCAGTGGAGTGATCTCAGCTCACCGCAACCTCTGCGCCCGGGTTCAGGCGATTCTCCTGCCTCAGTCTCCCAAGTATCTGGAATTACACGTGCATGCCATCACGCCCAGCTAATTTTTGTACTTTTAGTAGAGATGGAGTTTCACTATATTGGCCAGGCTTGTCTCGAACTCCTGACCTCAAATGATCTGCCTGCCTCAGCCTCCCAAAATGCTGGGATTACAGGCATGAGCCACCTTACCTGGCCAGGTCACAAAACCTTTCTGACTATGCAGGAAATGACATAATATGAGCCTCAGTTTCTTCATCCATAGAATGAAAATAGTAACTAAGGTATTTGCCCTATTTGGTGAGCAGCAAATGATGTAATAGGAATAGAAGTATTTTGTTGATCATCAAGGCAAAATAAAAGTTATTTCTGGAGTTTATAATGGTAACAGTCATCATACCTTCATCATCACCTTGACGTTTGGTACAAGCCCTTTGGGGCTACCCTAGGCCATCCTTATGACTGCCTTGGCGATGCCAGGGCCGTACTGGAGCATGTATCAAGAGCCATTTTTTAGAGCTAATTCAAGTAAAGCCTGCAGGCACAGTTTTAGGTACCCTGGATAAACTTTATTCTGCTCTTAAAAGACTTTAAGATTTAAAAGAAATAACCTCCATATCAATCAATTCCAATATTCATGTTTCTAGATGCCAAAGGGACTCTAATATATTACCACTGGAAGTGACCTTAGTAAAATCTAATTTCAGAGATAACTTGTAGCACAAAAACATCTTAAGGACTTAACATGAAATGCACTATGCCAGTCTATGATGAAGACAGATTCTCTGCCTTTTTGGGGGAATTTGATACCCAGTTAGGGAAATTAGGACACACACACACACACACACACACACACAAACACACACACACTTGAAATTGTCCTTTGCAATATGAGGTAGTGAATAATAAATTCAAATGAATGGTAGAAACAGTGATTACAGTAGAAATTCTAAGAAGGGAAGGATCACTGAGCTGTAGTGGTTAGGAAAACTATCTCAAAGAAAGTAGAATTTGAGGAGGATTTTGAAAGGTGAATAGAATTCTACTGGATGGAAAGGGAAAAGAAGGGTGTCTCAGGTCCTCAGATCCTGAATAAAAGTTTAGAAGCAGAACCTATGATGTTAGCTGGATGAATATAGATTTCCATAACAGAGTGGGGGTAGATACGGCTGAAGATAACAATCTAGGTTTAGATTTGTGACAGCCTTGAGTTTGAGGTCTCCGTCATAGGCAGAGGGGAGCTATTAAGGTTTTTTGATGGTGAAGACTAAAATAATGTTTTAGTCGTTGTAATGTAGTAATGATGTGTGGGGAGAAAAACAGGAAATAGAGGCTGGATCAGAGAGGCTATTTAGGGGCTACCGTAGTCTTCTGGACACGACCCAGGAAACAATAATGGGTATGAAAAGGAAGGGCTGGATTTGACAGATAGCACAAAGAAAGGCAAGAAATAAAGAGGCATCTACTAGAACTCAATTGTTCAACAATGTATTTTGAGTTTCTACTTTATGGCGTTGGACAACTCATAAAGTTTATGATGGAAAGAAATCAAAGGGGAAGACAAGTTTAGTCTTAAAAATATTAAATCTGAGGTGATGGTGGACCACATAAGTAAGTTGTTGGAAAGATGAAAGATAAGGAGAGAGGATGGACTTGAAGTATTATTTGGGGCACTGTGACAGAATCTGCTAGCTGTTTTCCAACATTTGTTCCCACCTTCATTCTTCATAATAGAATCACTAATTTTTACCTAGGCATATAGCCACCCAAAATAGACTATATTGTCCTGCTTTTTTCTAGCTAATGTTAGTCATATGACTAAGTTCAGCCCAACAGAATGAAAGTGGAAGGGCTGTATATGACTTCTCTGACTGTAAGAAGAGTGAGGAGCCTGGTGCGGTGGCTCATGCCTGTGATCCCAACACTTTGGAAGGCCGAGGTGGGTGGATTGCTTGAGCCCAGGAGTACGAGACCAGCCTGGGCTGGTATGAGACCAACATGGCAAAACCCTGTATCTGCAAAAAAAATACAAAAATTACCCGGGCAATG